AAAACATCTAAAAAAGCCAGATCAGTTCTGGAAAAGCATTCTTTGGATGGATGAAACTAAGATTAATCTGTACCAGAATGACGAGAAGAAAAAAGTGTGGAGAAGGCTTGGAACAGCTCATGATCCAAAGCACACAACGTCATCTGTAAAACATGGTGAAGGCAGTGTGATGGCATGGGCATGCATGGCTTCCAGTGGCACTGGGTCATTGGTGTTTATTGATGATGTGACAGAAGACATAAGCAGCCAGATGAATTCTGCAGTGTTTAGAGATATACTGTCAGCCCAGATTCAGGCAAATGCAGCAAAGTTGATTGGACGGCGCATTACAGTACAGATGGACAATGATCCAAAACACACTGCAAAAGCAACCCAGCTTTTGAAGGAAAAGAAGTGGAATATTCTGCAATGGCCGAGTCAATCACCTGATCTCAACCCAATTGAGCATGCATTTCACTTGCTGAAGGCAAAATTAAAGGCAGAAAGACCCACAAACAAAGAACAACTGAAGACAGCTGCAGTTAGAGCCTGGCAAAGCATCAGAAAGGAGGAAACCCAGTCTTTGGTAATGTCCATGGATTCCAGACTTCAGGCAGTCATTGCCAGTAAAGGATTCCCAACAAAATATTACAAATGAACATTTTATTTACGATTACATTGATTTGTCCAATTACATTTGAGCCCCTGAAAATGGAGGGACTGTGTATAAAAATGGTTGCAGTTGCAGTTCCTAAAATTTGTACTTGATATTTATGTTCAACACCTTGAATTAAAGCTGAAAGTGTCTGCACTTCAAATTAATGTGGATTGTTTCATTTTTATTTATTCTGTTGGCATACAAAGCCAAAAGTATTAAAATTGTGCCTGTCTCCATATATATTTGAACCTAACTGTATATGTGTATGGCCAGATTAAGGACCAAATGACTGTTACAGTTGCTCCTTTGTCTTGATAATGAACATTTGCATAACAAGCTCTGTGACCTTTCATAAACATAGTTATTTTAAAATGATATGACACTTAAAATTTCACACAGGTGATCTCTGTTAATCCAGATATGTAACTGCTGAAAGCAGCCAGCTGCATTTGTTTTTAACAGTAAAAGGGGTGAATACATATGCAATGTAAATAATTTTACAAAACTTTATGTAGATTATTTTCATTTCAACAGTATGGATTTTTTTTATAGCTCAGTGAAAAAAATTCTGTAGGACCAAAGCCCTTTTGTCCTCACTTCTCCTATGGATCACAAGTGTGTACTTCGTGCTGCACTCCTGTGACCCATTTCCAGCTTGATGTCACTCAGCCAGTCCAGACTCTGAAAATATCCTAACTTTGCAGTCAGTATCCACCCAGATGCTTGGACCACCATCTGGCCTGTAAGCAAGCCTATGAGAGACTGAGCCAGCAGCTCCTGCCAGCTCCACAGCTCAGCACTCCAGTGAGCCCTGGAGGAGCAGGGCAGAGAGCTGGTGACTGACAGTCAGTGCTCTCTGCTTACTGAATGCTGAGAACTGAGTGATCAGAAGTTCTCAGTTTTAGAGGTGGCAGGGGATAGCTGCAGCTGGGATTGGTGCTGCAGCCATCTAGGTGAGTATGATTGTTTTGTTTTTTTCCCAAAACTTTTCTTTTAAATCCGTTTTTACTTAGATGTCACAATGCAAAATGTGGAAAAGTCTAAGGGAGTCAATATTTATGTACAGTGGGGATCGAAAGTTTGGGTACCCCAGCTAAAAAATTGTATTAATGTGCATAAAGAAGCCAAGGAAAGATGGAAAAATCTCCAAAAGGCATCAAATTACAGATTAGACATTCTTATAATATGTCAACAAAAGTTAGATTTTATTTCCATCATTTCCACTTTCAAAATAACAGAAAACAAAAAAATGGCGTCTGCAAAAGTTTGGGCACCCTGCAGAGTTAATATCTTGTACTGCCCCCTTTGGCAAGTATCACAGCTTGTAAACGCTTTTTGTAGCCAGCCAAGAGTCTTTCAATTCTTGTTTGAGGTATCTTTGCCCATTCTTCCTTACAAAAGTCTTCCAGTTCTTTGAGATTTCTGGGCTGTCTGTCACGCACTGCTCTTTTAAGGTCTATCTATAGATTTTCAATTATGCTGAGGTCAGGAGATTGTGAAGGCCATGGCAAAACCTTCAGTTTACGCCTCTTGATGTAATCCCCTGTGGATTTCCAGGTGTGTTTAGGATCATTATCCATTTGTAGAAGCCATCCTCTCTTTAACTTCAGCTTTTTCACAGATGGCATCAAGTTACCATCCAAAATTTGCTGAAATTTTATTGAATCCATTTTTCCATCTACTCGTGAGATGTTCCCTGTGCCACTGGCTGCAACACAACCCCAAAGCATGATTGATCCAACCCCATGCTTAACAGTTGGACAGAGGTTCTTTTCATTAAATTCTGTGCCCCTTCTTCTCCAAACGTACCTTTGCTCATTCCGGCCAAAAAGTTCAATTTTAACCTCATCGGTCCACAGAACTTGTTTCCAAAATGCATCAGGCTTGTCTATATGTTCATTTGCAAAGTTCAAATGATGATTTTTGTGGTGAGGACGTAGAAGAGGTTTTCTTCTAATGACTCTTCCATGAAGACCATATTTGTACAAGTATCTCTTTATAGTGGAATAGTGTACCACAACTCCAGTGTCTGCCAGATCTTTCTGGAGGGATCGTGCAGTCAAACGTGAGTTTTGAATTGTTTTTCTCACAATCCTGCGAGCTGTTATGTCTGATATTTTTCTTGGTCTTCCAGATCTTGCTTTAACTTCCACTGTTCCTGATGACTGCCATTTCTTAATTACATTCCGAACAGAGGATATTGACATCTGAAAACGCTTTGCTATCTTCTTATAGCCTTCTCCAGCTTTGTGAGCGTCAACTATTTTCAGTTTCAGTTTTCTAGACAACTGCTTAGAAGAACCCATGGTGCTGATTGTTGGGGCAAGGTCAGATGAGTCTGGGCATTTAAAACCTTTGAGATTGACATCACCTGGTCTTCCCAGACGATGATTGAGAACAATCCATGACACTGGCAGGTCTCAGCTTTGCAAAGGGGGCAGTGCATGCTATAAATTCTGCAGGGTGCCCAAACTTTTGCAGACGCCATTTTTTTGTTTTCTGTTATTTTGAAAGTGTAAATGATGGAAATAAAATCTAACTTTTGTTGACATATTATAAGAATGTCTAATCTGTAATTTGATGCCTTTTGGAAGATTTTTCCATCTTTCCTTACATTTGTGTAAGTAAATAATTCTTTATCCTCCACTTAATTGGAAATATGTGTTAACACTTGACAATTAAGGCCTACCCCCTTCCATCTCCACCTATCAATTTTTAACCAATCACCATCCATCCTGGTACTTACTGTAACTCCTTTCTAGACCCTGACCTACTAGTTTTCTTTAACTACTTGCCCTCCTGAGGATTTACCCCCCTTCCTGACCGGGCCATTTTTTGCGTTACAGCACTGCGTTATTTTAACTGACAATTGCGCGGTCATGCAACGCTGCAGCCAAATGAAATATATCTCCTTTTTTTTACCATGAATTGAGCTTTCTTTTGGTGGCATTTGATCGCCTGTACATTTTAAATTTTTTGCGCTATAACAAAAAAAAACCCAACTATTTTGAGAAAAAAAAGATATTTTTGACTTTTTGCTATGAAACATGTCCAGTAAAAAAATAGTAAAAATCAAATTTCATCATAACTTTAGGCCAAAATGTATTCTGCCACATGTCTTTGCTAAAAAAAAATCCCAATACGTGTAAATTAATTGGTTTACGTGAAAGTTATAGCGTTTACAAATGGCGGTATAGATACTGGACGTTTTTTTTTTTACTAATAATGGCGGCGATCAGCGACTTATAGCGGGACTGCGGCAGGCATTCTGACACTGGGGGGAACTGACTTGGTGTCATTGACATCCCCAATGCAGTGATCAGTGCTAAAAAAAAAAGCACTGACACTGTACTAATGGCACTGGGCAGGAAGGGGTTAACATGAGGGGCGATCAAAGGGTTAACTGTGTGCTGGGAGTATTTTACTGGGGGGCGTGTGTTGTGTTGGTGCTTCACTGTAAGGACACTGCTCTGCTGTGCACAGCCATCCAGAGCAGTGTGCCTGAGCCTACAGGGTGGAGGACTGTTAGTAAACAAAGCAGCCCTCCTCCCCATCGGAGATCCTCGGTAATCACCGGGCGCCGGCGGGCAATCACCGGCCGAGACCCAGTGATTGACAGCCACGGCCGCAAAAGGCGCAGCTCGCGTGGCGCCCCCTACCCAGGAATGCAAAATCACATATATTCTCACTTAAAATATACATTTAAAAAATGCAAGTATCAATCATGTGCAGTAATTTGTAGCAACCAGACTGCTAGGCGTAGTGCAGTAAAATGGTGATTTCTGATTGTTATAGGCTGCTGCATTTTTATTGTATATGTCTTATTAATGGAGAATGCACATGGGCATTTTTGTTTCTTTATGGTTTTCATAAAAAGTGTAAGTCCCTGTCTGCTGCGTGTACCAAGAACATGCTGGTTGCATGTTTGCACTGATTTTTGTGTGCCTTTTAAAATGCAACATTTCACTCAGGGTTTTAAAGAATAAATATGGCCATTGTTGAAGAAATGATGCTGTTCCCTTGGGCTTCCATACTTAAGGCCCGCACTGCATAACTCTGCGTTGAAGGCCAGGGTCTTAAACTTGAGACAACCTTAGAGCTGGATTAAAAGTGTTTTGAATGTGGTAAGTTGTACTTTCCTCACTCTGGATAATTTGTGCATGTAGTCAATTTCAGAGTTCTTTTCAATAGTCCATTATAAAATATGGGGTATATTTATACATGTTTTCACTCAGGATTCACAAATGTTTCTAATGATATTCAATTATCCTTTATTAACTGTTATTAACTCTTTCCCTCTGACTGAGACCCTTTTTTAGAGTTGGTGTGGTTTGAAACTTAGTTTCCATCCTTTGTTTTCCAGGTACTGTAGTTGTGCAGCAGTTGATGGCAGTGATGATAAGTGAGCACGAAACCCTTTTCCCCAAAGATGCTGATATTCAGATTGATGCTGGACAAGAAACGACCAACAACAACAATGAGCTGCAAAAAAAGATGCTGCTAGGCCAAATACAGAACAAGGAGAACAATAATACAAAGGATATAGCAGTGAGACGTTGCTCCTGGGAGAAGTCTGATTCTCCACAAAGGTCAAGTGTTGACAACGGGTCTCCCACTGTGCTCTCAGGAAGTAAATCCAACAGCCCAAGAAACAGCATTCACAAACTGGATGTTACACGAAGTCCACCGCTAATGGTGAAAAAAAATCCAGCTTTTAACAAGGGTAGTGGGATTGTTACCAACGGGTCTTTCAGCAGTTCTGTGGAAGTCCATGACAAACACCATTCTTTACCCAATGGTACCTTACAGGCTAGAAGAACCTCTTCTCTCAAAAGTTCAGGAACCAAAATGGGTACTCACAGTGTACAGAATGGCGCTGTAAAAATGGGAGTGTCCAGCACAGACACAATGAGCAATGTTTTGAACAGTCGGACCACAAGCTGGCTACCCAATGGATATGTGACATTAAGAGATAACAAACAAAAAGACTGTACAGGCGAACCAGTGCAGCAGCACAGATTGTCCACATATGATAATGTTCACCAGCAGTTTATGATGAACTCTGATGACAAGCAAAGTGTGGACAGTGCAACATGGTCCACATCATCTTGTGAAATTTCTCTCCCTGAGAACTCCAACTCCTGCCGCTCCTCCACAACAACCTGTCCAGAGCAGGACTTTTATGGTGGGACCTTTGAGGACCCTGTGTTAGATGGGCCAGCCAGTGACGATATTACTAGTGCAGCAGACTTTGAGAGCAAATTTGACAGACGAAGTGCTGGGGGTCACAGCAGCAGGGCTACCAGCAGCAGTGACAACAGTGAGACTTTTGTAGTGAGCAATTCAAGCAACCACAGTGCACTTCACAGCCTTGTATCCAGTTTAAAACAGGAAATGTCAAAACAGAAAATGGAGTATGAGACCAGAATAAAAAGGTATTTTTACTAGTGTTATTATTGTTTTCTATACTATAAATTCCATATTCATGTTGCAAATGTTTAATAAGATGAACATGCACAGCGTCTTGTACTTTCTGTACCTAACCTTCAATCCCCTCTGTTGTGTTTGCCACCAAGAGCAGTGCTAGTAACTAATGAGCTCATTTCCAAGCATAACCATTGTGATATGGGAGGCACGGGGGCAGGGAAGTCATTCACATGATATACTATACCCAGATGTACTAGATATTTGTAGCCAAGATGCTACTATTTAATAACCACATCTCGCAAATTGACAGCCGGGTGGGACTTTTGTTGTTCTGGGTGGATGTCATATGACCTCCTCCCTGAACAGGCCGTGCTGTGGGCATGATCTGTCACTGGCTGTGTCAACCGGACACAGCCAATGACTGATCAGTGTACCAGCCCATTGACAGTACCATGTGATCGCTATGACCAATCACAGAAGATCACATGACAATTGTAAACTATGAATGTCTTCAATTCAAGCCATTTATTATGTACAATTGTGTTGCTAGCTGTGATTGATCACAGTGATTACATGGTACAGACAGGGCCAATCTGTACAATGTGGTTAGTTGTGGCCAATCACAGCTAATCACAACAAAACACACTGAATGAATCAATTTCACTCAGCAAAATGCTTGCTTAACCGCCTCCTGCCCGCCATATAGTACAATGATGGGCGCAAGGTGGTTCTCTTGTTCTGGGAGGACGTCATATGACGTCCTCCCATTCTCACCGCGCATGCACGGCTCCTAGAGCACGCAGCGCGGCGATCGGTGGTGCGCTGTGTCCCTCAGACACAACGTATCACCGATCAACAGAAAGAGCCGAAGATGTCGGCTCGGTCATGTGATCAGCTGTATCCAATTACAGCTGATCACATGCAAATAGGGAAATGTCGGTTATCGGCATTTCTCTCCTCACGAGCTGTCACGCTGACAGCTCGTGAGGAGAGGAGAGTCGGTAATCAGCATTCCTAGGAGGGGACATGTACACTGATTATCAGTGTGCCCTGATGATCTGTGTAGCCCCAGCAGTGCCATCTGTCAGTGTCCATCAGTGCCAGCTGTCAGTGCTCATCCATGCCACCTGTCAGTGCCCTTCAATGCCACATCTATGCCACATTTCAGTGCCTACCAGTGCACATCAATGCCACATATCAGTGCCCATCTGAGTTGCCTTTCAGTGTCACCCATCAGTGCTGCCAATCAGTGCCACCTATCAGTGCCAGTCAGTGCCGCATGTCAATGCCACCTATCAGTGTGCATCAGTGCCGCCTATCAGTGCCCGCAGTGCTGACTATCAGTGCCGCCTAACAGTTCCAGTCAGTGCCACCTATCAGTGCCAGTCAATGCCACCTATCAGTGCCACTTATCAGTGTCATATATGAGTGCTGCCTTTCAGTGCCCATCAGTGATGCCTGTCAATGCCCATCAGTGCCACCTACCAGTGCCTCCTCATCCGTGCCCATCAGTGCCACCTATCAATGTCCATCAGTGCAGCCTATCAGTGTCCATCACTGCAGCCTCATTAGCGCACATCAGTGAAGGAGAAAAATCACTTATTTACAAAATTTTATAACAAAAACTAAGAAAAAACTTTTTTTTTTTCAAAATTTTCAGTGGTTTTTGGTTTGTTTAAAAAAAAAAAAAAAAACCCAGAGGTGATTAAGTACCACCAAAATAAAGCTCTATCTGTCAGAAAAAAATGATAATAATGTCATATGGGTACAGTGTTGCATTACCGCGCAATTGTCATTTAAAGTGCAATAGCGCTGAAAACTGGAAATTGGCCTGGGCAGGAAGGGGGTATAAGTGCCCTGTAGGCAAGTGGTTAAAGCAGTGAAATTCACTACTATAGGCAATCATAATGTATTTAAAAAAATAAAAAAAAATCCTGATCACTTTCCCAGAGAGTAGTGCAATGTTACTATGGTAACATTATATTGCTCTGATCACCGTGTGTTAAAAAAAAAATCTTAAAAGAAGAATAAAAAATAAAAAAAACATTGAAAAATTAAAAAAAAGTATTACAGTTTTTTTTTGTACTGTCACCAGTGTCCCTGATCACCGCCACACCAGTTATATGATGACGCTGTACTGCACTGGTGACAGTATGTAAATCACAGCCAGTCAGCCAATGAGGAGAGAGAGGGCAGGGCCAAGTCACAGCTCTGTGTGAATGGACACATGGAGCAGGGGCTTGGGAACACACCTGCTCAGGTGCCCTTATAGCAAGCTGCTTGCTATGGGGGCTCCCAACAGAAAAGAGAAGCCAGGAGCAACAGCAAGGGACCCAAGAAGAGGAGGATCCAGGCTGCTCCTTGCAAAACCACTGCACACAGCAGGTAAGTATAACATGTTTGTTATTTTCCAGGAAAAAAAATAACCTTTAGTATCACTTTAACTGTGAACATTGTGGGTATTTTGGAATGATAATCAGCCTCTATTACCATTTTTCTCAAATAAGCCTAAGCCTTACCATTATGTGGCTACTGTAAAGTAATTATGGTGTAGAAGAGTTTGGTGTCACTCAGAGTATTGAATTGAATCGAACCTGTCTTACCAAACATACCAAAGAGTAATCTGCTAGTGCTGCTTTGCAGTACATAGTCAACCCCTTATTTCATTTTAATAACTCTCTCTGATTGTGATACTTCAACTTCGTCAGGGGTCAGGGCGAATCAGAAGGCTGATAGTAGCTGCTGTCACAACTATGACTTTATCCATTGTGCAACTGCAAGCTGGGATTCCACTCCCAGGACACATTTCCTTTCCATTTTCTTAGGAAAAATGCAACTGGTAAATGTCATTCAGACTAGCATTGTGTTATATTTCTTGTTCTACAATTGCAGTTAGATGACTTCTGATAAGATCTATAATAACTTTGTACATTTTATATTGTCAAGTTCCACCAGTAATACTAAAGATAAAATTGTCATGCCACTGGCCATGTTGCTAGGGCAACTTAGTAGATAATATATACTTTTTTTACATTACACTAGACAAAGTCATTTCAAGTGTGTTGAACTTTTTGAGCTGCAAAGCATATCAGAACGAACCTTTATTAACTATGATGTACATCTCCACAGCATGGAACAAAGAAACCTCACTCTGGAGACAGAAGTACTATCCCTGCAAGAGGAACTGGAGCAAGAAAGAAAGAAGTACACTATGGTGGAAATTAAAATGAGGAATGCAGAACGTGCAAAAGAGGATGCTGAGAAAAGAAACGACATGTTGCAGAAGGAGATGGAACAGTTTTTCTCAACTTTTGGTGACCTCACAGTGGAACCGCGTAGGCCAGAGAGAGGGAACACAATATGGATTCAGTAAAGTGGGCCAAAGTATGTTGGACAGTGAGAAGCAGGCGTAGTATTTTCACATGGAAGGTCTTCAGGTGGCTGGTCACCTGACCAAGATTAGCACTCTATTTCTAGGTACCATGTAGAGAGGGGTCAAAAAAAAAAAAAAAAAAGAATCAGCATCATCCACAGTATCTGCCTAACCAAGTCAGTTCTATTATTACATAATCCATATTGCTACTGTCAAGTGTTAAAACTGGATATGTGTACATAGATTATAAAAAAAGTGTTATGTTTAAAACAGAATTGTATTCCAAGAATAATAATAATAATGCAAGTATTGTATTTAAAACAGCAAACTGATATGTTGTTGCAGTCGAGCTTTATATGAAGTCAATATATATCCTTGCACTTAAAATGTAATACAATATTTTTGCGCATTGTGCTATCATTGGCTTATTTTGTATATTAATTGTCCCTATTCCCATGTTGACAGGGAATGGAAATAAAAAAAAACAAAAAAAACAATATGGGATACTTGTGGCTTTTGATGTTTGTGCCAACCAACTTGCCTATGACCAAAAGAAAGTGTACAAAATTTTATAAAGCGTTGCCACAAGACGTAATATGTTTGGCTCTTTCTTTATCCACAAAATGTCACTGTATGTAATAAAAACAATGTTTTGTTGATTATGGGGGACTACACCCTAGAATTGATGACGCTTGGCATTGATATTGGAAGAATTATCCTGTGGATTAATTGGCAATATGTACAAGAAAAAATAGACACATATAATAGTATGTGTTATCAGCAGTGCTTTTGCAATATTCAAGCACATTTAGTGGTACTAAAAACTTTCAAGGTACTCTAGTTTTGCCACTGTTGGCATTTTCTCATGGAATTTTCTAGGCAAAGCTTACATTTTCCCTCCATGTGCCTGCTCTGTCTTCTGGGACCACCTACTCTTGAAGGCAGGTATTGAGGTGTGACCATTCATAAAAAGAACTTGTGCACTATATGGGGACTGAGGGAAGTGAGACTGTAGAGTGTGGAAGGTGTCATAAGCTCCCAGTTAGGGGTATAATCAGACTACCAAATTATAATTAACTTTTTACCTAATCAGTGGGTACATTATATTCAAGCAGACACCATATTTTCCATAACATACATTTTAGTACTCATGTCCCATTGACAAACTGCACGAAACTCTATAATTGATATAAAGAATACAGGATGGGGGTTGGTAGATTTGTTGCTTTTATTTTTCTAGTATTAATTAATGTGTTAAAGTATTAGTTAAACACAAAACAAACATTTTATATGTTGCAGCTTACCAATTCTTAGATGTGATCCAACCAGTAGGTCAGTTGTTTTTCAACAGACCAAGCTGTTCTCTAAAGGTAGCAGTGTAAAGTGTTGAGACAACCATTTAGCATTGACAGGGATGCCTACAATGACCAGCTTTTATTTATTTATACAAAATCTTTATCGCAAAAGGATAAAAAAAACTGCTGTAACTGCTTATAATGTATTACCTGGAGTTTGGCTTACATTTGTTAGTGTATCTACATCTGCTAGTGCATCTGCAACGGCTTAGAAGTGGTATTTCTATAAGGATCATTTAAAGGACTCATCCTAAAATTATCTAACAGGCAAAAAAACCCCACCAGTGTGCTAGTAGGCATCCCTTGCACTTGATAATCTGTATTTAAATACATTCTGTGACCATGGAACTTTGTCACAAAGAAAAAACAAAATTGGTACCTATGTTAAGTTCCTTAAAAACACCTGGATATTGCACCCTGCTACTGGAGCAGTTGATACAAAAGTTAAATGTTTTGTAATTTTACATACCATTATGTTGGAGGAAACAGAAATCTACAAATCAGCACCAATACCCACACTAACAGTACACCAATGTCAGTTGGGATTTCTGCTTCAGTGCCTGGATGGTTAATAAGTGGATAAATTCAGAGTTGCATAAGGAAGTTTTTCAGCATCTGTTTGTAATCTTGGACTCAAAATACACTACATTGCCAAAAGTATTGGGACTCCCCTCCAAATCATTGGATTCAGGTGTTCCAATCACCTTCATGGCCACAAGTGTAAAAAATCAAGCACCTAAGCATGCAGACTGCTTCTACAAACATTTGTGAAAGAATGGGTCGCTCTCAGGAGCTCAGTGGATTCATGCGTGGTACCATGATAGGTTCCCACCTGTGCAATAAGTCCATCCATGAAATTTCCTTGCTACTAAATATTCCACGGTTAACTGTGAGTGGTATTATAACAAAGAGGAAGAAACTGGGAAAGCCGCAACTCAGCCATGAAGTGGTAGGCTACGTAAAATTACAGAGTGGGATCAGCGCACACAACTTTGTGAGACTTCAGATTAGCACAACAACAATGCATAGAGAGCTTCATCCAAACCTTACATCAACAAGTGCAGTGCAAAGCATCAGATGCAGTGGTGTAAAGCATGCCACCACTGGACTGGAGCAGTGGAGACGTGTTCTCTGGACTGACGAGTCGTGCTTCTTTGTCTGGCAATCTGATGGACGTGTCTGGGTTTGGAGGTTGCCAGGAGAACGGTACTTGCCTGACTGCACTGTGCCAAGTGTAAAGTTTGGTGGAGGGGGGATTATGGTGTGGGGTTGTTTTTCAAGGGTTGGGTTTGGCCCCTTAGTTCCAGTGAAGGGAACACTTAAGGCATTATACACACTGCTAAACTTTGTGGACAGCCTCCCCAGAAGAGTTGAAGCTGTTATAGCTGCAAAGGGTGGGCCAACTCAGTATTGAACCCTACAGTTTAAGATTGGGGTGCCATTAAAGTTCATGTGTGTGTAAAGGCAGGCGTCCCAATAGTTTTGGCAATATAGTGTATGTTGAAAAAAAAAACCCTTATTTTTGAATGCGTTAGAGGTCTAATCCCCAAATCCCTCAAAATGCTTTGGTGTAATCTCAGGCAAGCAGTTTGAGCATTGCATCATACAGATGAACTAAAGCAGTTTGTTTACAGGGGTTGACCAAAATATCTACCACACAAGTCTAGTCAGACGTTAAATTGGAACTTAACCCAACAGTTTCCCCCCAAAAAGTAAAAAATGTTCAAAATGTGACCATATTGCCTGTAAAGAAGAGAGGTACCCACTAGTTGCTCAATTTAAAGGCCAATTTCAGCCCAAACCTTTCTTTCAATATTGGATGGAATGGGGTTAGGAGATCCTGCCAAGGTAAAAGAAATTCAAATAAAGGTTCTCTGCAGGAGAAGAGGTCCTTACTGTTTGGTGGTGTGTATCTCTTACATCTGCTTTTTTTAAGCACTGCGTCCTCCATCTGTCTCTTCAGCATTCAACTTTTTTTTTTTTTAGGAGTGAAAAATGCCTGCATCCCCTGCCATGGTTCTGGTTTCTATCCTCTGATTGTTGTGTTCCTGAAGATTCTTAAGCTGGTCATAAAATTCAGTTGGCTCCTGATAAGCCAGCTGAAATGTACATAGTGAGTGGCTCTGCCCCCACCCACCTGACATCCTTTGATTGAAAAATCAAAGTAGCCGAGGGAACACTGTGAGCATAACAGTGGTTGCATCCAATCAGATGCAGCCCCTGCTCGAGCATTGTGACAGCCACCCCTGGTAACTGTCAGAATACAATAGCTCAGCAGGGGCAATTCATCAGTCCATGCTGTATAGCATGGATGGAAGAATTGATTTTCAGCCTGCAGGGTGAACTAAACAAAAATCTAAGCATGTATGTCCAGCTTTATAGAGGCTACAGTGCTGGAAGCAAGGAAAACAAGGAGACACGGGATGAAGATGAGGTGAATAAAAGAGCTCTTCTCCAGAACAATACCTTTATTTTTTTATTTTTTTTTTACCCTGATAGGGTCACTTGAAATGCTGTGTGAGTTCTCATAGAGGAGATTAGATAAATTCTCTTCCCTTTTTATCTGATATCTGAATATCACAGTGATTAAAACTTTCCTTTATAAGGATAGGGACACTAGTTAAAGCATAACAAAGGCTCCAGTCTTACATTAAAGTGATATTAAAGGCATTTAAAAAAACAAAAAAAACAAACATGTTATACTTACCTGCTGTGTGCAGTGGTTTTGCACAGAGCAGCCCCAATCCTCCTCTTCTTGGGTCCCAGGCTGGCGCTCCTGGCCCCTCCCTCCTGCTAGTGCCCCCAGAGCAAGCAGCTTGCTTTGGGGGCACCCAAGCAGGCTCACTCCCAAGCAACTGCTCTGCGTGTCCACACCCAGAGCCGATGCTCAGCCCCACTCCCTCTCTCTTCTCATTGGCTCCCTGGCTGTTAATGACAGTAGTGGGAGCCAATGGCTCCCGCTGCTGTCTCTGCCAATGAGGAGAGAGAGTCCCTAAAGAGCTGAGGCTCCTGTGCACATCGCTGCATCACAATAAGGATCAGGGATTAGGGGGCTGGGGGGCGCTGCTGCACACAGAAGGTTTTTTACCTTCATGCATAGAATGCATGAAGGTTAAAAAAAACTTGAGCCTTTACAACCACTTTAATAGAAAAAAATTCTGGACATAGGTTTTATGGATTCACATACACTTTTATTAACCACTTTTGTTTAATAACGATAGGTAAAATTCCATGTGCTGTTTGTTAAATAAAACTGTCAGTATATATCTCTGAACCCATTAAATAGTTTAGAGCGCCGAAAGTGCCAATGGTTTACTCCAGAGATCCACGGAATCCGTGTGCTTGTGTCTTTAATGTTCATCCATGTCCACTGTATAGTATAATATGCAAACGCTCCGCACTCCTAAACAGACTAAATGCAAGGAAGGATAGAAAGCGGCCTCAGCCTAGGCTCCTAACAGGCCACACCCACTGATACATTTAACTCTGCCCACAGGAGCATAATGGAGGGCAGTGTGACATGGGGGGGAATGGGATAGGAGGGGGGCAGTGTGATGGGGGGCAGCATGATGGGGAGCAGCATGATGGGGGGGCTGCAAGACATGAGGGGGGCAGCAGGACAGGAAAGGGGAAGCATGACGGGGT